TACGCCATATTTTTCCATTTTTTTGAGCAGGATTTCATGATCAACAGTATTGAATGCTTTTGATAGATCTATAAAGATTCCTAGAACAAATTCATTATTATCAAATGAGTAGTTGATGCTATTTACAAGATCTATGATTGCATGTTCGGTTGCATGTTGTTTTTGAAATCCAAACTGTTTTTTATTTTTTAAGATGTTATTGTTTGTTAAATATATGTACAGTTTATTATAAATTATTCGTTCGAGAAGTTTTGAGAATACAGGAAGGATTGAGATTGGTCTATAGTTGTTTAGTAAATATGGTTCTCCAATTTTATATATAGGTACAACTTTTGGAATTTTTAATTTCTCTGGAACGGTTCCTGTTATAATTGAAGATTTAAATATTTCGAAGAGGGGTTTTTTTATTATCGGAAAGATATTTATTACTACATTGCTACAAATTTCATCAATTCCTGGTGCTTTGTTAATTTTTAAAGAGTTTTTTGCATTTTCAAGTTCTTCATAGCTTAATCCATTGAAAATTAGTTCGCAATTTAGATCTGTAAGGTAATTTTCAAAGGAGTCATTTGTAGTTAAAATTTTAGACGCCATGTTTGGGCCTATGTTTGGAAAGAAATTGTTGAAGTGTTCGGCAATTGAGTTCTTATCATCCTGTTCGGTTTCATTTATAATGATTCTATCTGGTAAACTATTTGTTTTTTTTCCCAATTATTTCTTTCATAATGTTCCATGTTTTTTTCATGTCTCCATTTGTTTTTTTAAGTAATTTAGAGTAGTAAATTTTTTTAGAATGTTTTTTGATTTTTTCGAAAAGATTTTTGTATTGTTTATAAGTAGATAGGCTAATCTCATTTCTGTTTTTCAAATATTTAACGTATAGTTTTTGTTTTGTTTTTGAAGATTTTTTAATACCGCTGGTAATCCATGGACAGCTCAAATATTTTACTTTGATTTCTTTTTATTTGATTAGAAAATGATTATTATAGTGCTTTAGAAAAATATCTGTAAAAGTATTATATCCAGAGTTTGTGTTCCCAAGGTTACATTCTTGATACACTTTAACCCAATCTACTGCCGATAGTGTGTCTTTAAAATTTTGATTTGAAAATTTATTTATTTTTCTTTTATAAGTTATTTTTTTCAAATTATTATTTACTCTTGTATCATTTTTTATTGTAAAGTAAATTGGAAAATGATCTGTTATATCAATTTTTACTATTCCTGCTTTTAAGGAGGTATCTAGAAATGAGTTTGTTATTATGTTATCTACGGCAGAAATATAATTTAAGGTTACCCGTGTGGGTTTATTAATAATTGGTAAAATACAATGTTAAAACATGTTATCAAAAAATAATTTAGTAATCGGAAACTCATTGTATTTTAAACAATCTATGTTGAGGTCCCCAATACAGAATAACTTTTTTTGTTCTTTATTGATTTTGAGAAAAATTTCTTCTAGATAATTAGAAAAAGTTTTAATATTACCTTCAGGTGGTCTATAACAGGTAGAAACAATAATATTTTTAAACTTGGAGTTTATGATTTCTATTGTAAAGACCTCACTATCGGCATTAGAAATGGAGTGGTCTTTTCTTACTTTTATTGCTTGATCATAAAATCATAAAAATATTTATCTCAATAAAGTACTAATTTAGATTTAAAATATCATGTAAGCATCCAGTTTGAAGCTTATAAACATTAAATATTCATTACTTAACGAATTGTTAATTATTTTAAAATATATATATATTTCTTAAAAAGACAATTTTAGCTTTATAATTATGCTGAGTCATTTCTATAGATTGTATTTCTTAATTAATTGCACCTGGTAGAAAGACCAAATCCGGCCAGGTATACCCCTTATTCCGGCCAAGGCCGAAATTAGGTTCACGAGTGTCTAAAAGTAACTCATACTTGTATGATATTTATATTATTAGATTTTATTCTTTTAATATAAATACTTTATGTTGCATTTATGTCCTAAAAGTTATCAATCTTAAATGTATGCATTTATTTAGTTAAATATTTATATAATATTTTTAAAATATGAGGATGATAATTTAAAAATAAACTTAAATCTAAATAATTAAAAGATATTATATTGTTTCATGTAGATTATTGCTTATAAATGAAATTATATTAAAAAATAATCTTTAATTACAAATTTTAATAATTTATAATATAAATTTTCATTTTAGAATGGCTGTTAATAAAAATAAAATTCATAATAAGAAACAATGTCATCCAACTCGAGGTAAATAAGAGGAAGTGTTACTTGAAGCTATAAAAAGTTCACCTAAAATGTCTGTTAGAGCTGCTGCTAAATTTTTTAAAGTACTCCGAGCAACTTTGCAAAAGCAGGAAGAAAACGTGTAATGCTACTTGATCTTGAAAAAAAATTACTCGATTTTGCAGACAACAGAAGTAGGATAGACATTGGTTTCGGAAAAGAACAATTCTTAGTATATGCTGGCCTAATTCTGCTGGCTAAATGCTGGCCAAAAAGTATGGATATTATTTTAAGAATGGCAAACCATCTAATAAATGGTGGTGACTACTAAACAATCGACATAACAAAAAAGACAATCATAATCAACAGCATCAGTTCGTCATCAATGCATGAATCCGATAAAGGTGGCAAATTATTTTACTGCACTTAAAGAAGTCATTAAAGACTGTCAGTCTGAAGTAATATGAACATGGATGAGACAGGACTGCAGCTAGACTTTATGGCGCACAAAATTGTTGCTGCAAAAGGTACTAAATACTTACATATGAAAACAAGTGGAAATCGAGAAATGATTACTTTGATTGTTTGTGTGAATGTAGCAGGAAGAGTCTTACCACCTCATGTGATTTTAAAAGGGAGGACAGTAAAATCTCTTCAAAGTTTTCAAGTTCTAGATGCCCCTGAAGGAACCAACTGGAGTCCAAGCGAATCTGGATGGACTAAACAAGGTATTGCAAAACTATGATTTGAGCTTACATTTAAAAAAAATATTGGATCACAACGTCTACAAGTTTTAATTTTGGATGGCCACGATTCTCACAACTTCTTTGAGTGAATAGATATGGCCATACAAAACCGAATTGAAATTGTTGAATTACCTGCTCATACAAGCAACTGGCTTCAACCTTGCGATCAAATTGTATTTAAGCCATTCAAAGTTTCATATAATAAAGCAGCCCAGGATATGATGCCTAATCACCCTGGGGTTGTAATAAACAAGGCCCATTTTACAGGACTTTTAACCAAAGCCTGGAATAAAAGTATGATAAAAGCTAATACTGAATCTGGCTTTAAATCATGTAGAATCTTTCCTTATAATCCTTCGATTATTTCAGCAGAAGCTTACTTGCCAAACCTTTGACATCAAATTTCATCAAATTAAGTCAACACTAATAGACTTAATACGTTTGTGATATTACGGCTTTCAGATATTTTTAAAATTTTTTTATGTAAAAATAAGTTGAATAATTTTATAAATAAATTTATCTTAATAGAGTTTGTTTTTATTTATTAAATCTGAAGACAGGTTAGTGACTAATCTATTTGATCAAATTAAAACAATTGATAATACAACAACAGTTGAGCAGATTTATCAAACAACAGACAGCAAATAAGTACTTTACCAGATATTGAATTGGAACAACATCTAATTAACAACCCAAGATTTGCTGTAGCAAATGATCACGACTATTAAACTGAACCAATAACCGTAGTAGAAAACTATAGAACTAAAAGCTGCAAGTAATAAAGTTACTAGTAATTTTTTTAGTAAGACAGCTTTAGGATTATATTTTTATCTGAAATTGAACAGGCTATTGATCAGCATGAAATTGATTTAACATTTTCAACTCTTTTAGTTTCTGATTTTGTAAAAACTAGATCTTTTGCCCTTTTAAAAATTCATCTTATCCAGGAGATGGAGATAATGATATTTTGCCGTATTCAGATCCAAATTTTACAAAGAGCAAAAAAGCTAAGAAGTTTTTGTGCTTACTTCTAAGGAAGCATATGAGTCACAACTAAAACAGATGAAAAAAAAGCTCAAAATGAAAAGGAAAAAGAAATGCGTAAATTGAAAAGACTACAAAACTCAAAAATTGAAGAAGTAACAGTATTGTCAAAAGATAATTCTAGAAAAAAAACGTTGCTATAAAAATGAACCAATAAAAGTATAAAAAAAAACAATGTTTAATTTGATTATGTTGCTATGAATTTTTGTTCTTAGTGTTTAAAAAAGTCTTTTATAGAGTTCACTGAATTCTTTTTTATTTAATGTAAATCTATTCTAAACAAATCTTTTAAAATAATAGTATAGTTTATTACATTGACAATTATCGTGATTTATATAATAGGTTCTTATTTAAAATATTAAACCTAGTTTTGCGTTTGTTTTTTATTTGCATTAAAAAATATTTATTTTTATTTGTTACTAACATGTATACGCTTCTTTTTTTTCTTCCCTATGGACAAAGTGATACAACTCATTTCCTGAAAACATATTTTTTTAGACATCCTTATTAAGTTTAGGCAAGTTTATTTATTGATGAGTGTTTAGTATTAAGTTAAGTAATCATTTTCTAACTGATGTTTAAGAATATGTTTATTTTAACTTTTAACTAAATAAACTTTAAATAAATCCAATTTTGCTAAAACTGTTTTACTTAATGTTTAGCTGTCAACGGGCTAAAATTGTAGGATTAAAAAAATTATTGATTCAATATTTAGTAATACAATTAATTTTTAAATATTATTCCTATTGGAATAATAAATTAACGGTGTCCATTTTAGAAAAAAAATTCTAAAACGGCCACCATTAAATAATTATACCAATAGGAAATTTACGAGCAATTCGGTAACACAAGGTACCTTCTTCCCTGATATTATTTCAGTAGGAAATTTATGAGCAATTTTGGAACCCAAGGTACCTTCTTCCCAATGAACAAATAAAGATTTTAAAATGTATTAACGTCAAAAGTAGGCAAAGCAGTTACTTTATAATTTATGTTTTCATTCAAACTTTATAACTTACACGTTTTCATATAAACTTTATAAAATAACTATAAAAAAAGTTGAAGTAAATAGTTAAGATTTGTTTAAGTTAAAATTTAATTAAAAATGATCCCTAAATTGTACGATTAAAAAACTCATTCTCGATTCCAATACAAAACACCTAAAGTGTGATCGAGGCGTTTAACGTCAATCTCATCTCCAGGATACGCATTTTTGTAGTACAGCAAAAGTTCTTCTATGGCTTTTTCTTCAAGCTAATAATACATGACAATTTACAAGATTCTACGAATTTACAATTATTGAACAATAAGAAAAACAGCGACAACCATTACATAAATAAGAATTTAACTTTTTTAATGTTATATAAAATAAACGAATATATAATTACTTGAATCAAGGTGACAGGCTTGTGGAAACTCCTAAACACACAAATAGCATAATATAACACACAAGCATCATACAGAACGACAATTATTTAGAGGTTATCATAAGTTCTTTGAATTGAAATAAAAAATTTAATAAAATCAACTTAGGTTAACTTGGGCAAAACTCCGTACCTCCCCCCCCCCAACCTTCATTATAAAAAAATAAATAAATAAATAAGCAAATTAAAATGAAAAATAAAATCTCACTCTAATGTTTGGCGTTTCTCTTCTTCTTTAAATAATCGAAGCATAGACACTTCTGAAGTTTCAGACACTGAAATGTCATTCCACACGCTTCTAAATATCATAAATACTGAAAATATAGATAAATATAGATAGACATCATAAATATCATAAATACTGCATCGCTGAGGATACTTATCTTTAATATCATAAATATTTACTATATCACTCACAGTGATACAGTAACGATTTAATAAATAAAAACAAACTCTATTAAGATAAATTTATTTATAAAATTATTCAACTTATTTCTACATAAAAAATTTTTAAAAATATCTGAAAGCCGTAATATCACAAACGTATTAAGTCTATTAGTGTTGACTTAATTTGATGAAATTTGATGACGTTTATGCATAAAGTTCAAATTAACCAAACCAATTATTTGGTTTTATTTAAACTTTATGCATAAACGTCTTTGAAAAAAATAAGTAAAAGTGACAGTCAAATCGGATTTGCATAAAACATCGCTGATGATAACGGCGGAAACTTCCTTATCATGTTTTTTTCTAATCATAATTGCAGTATTCATTTACATTAAGCAATACAACAGAAGACCTATTAGGATTTTTTGAAGCACTTTTTTGGAACACACATTTAACCAGAAAAACAAAACAAAAGCAACTATAATTATAACCAAAATAAATAAATCATTTTGAAATATATTTCAGCTAATATGCTAAGATACTAATTTAAAATAAAAAACTCTATGCTTAATAGAGAACCAATAAACTGATTCTAGTTACGCTAATATTTATAATAAATAAAAAAGCAAATAAATAATAAAAAATAATAATAATAAAAAAAAAAATTAACATACTTCTCAATCCTTAAGTATATAAATAATATAGTGTAAGAGTTTCTAGGAGCAAAATATCCAAAATTAACTCAAGCCACACACGCAAAACAAAAAAACCATTTTTTAAGAAAAAAATATAAAAGAGAATTATTGATAATGAAAAAACTAAATTTTTGTGTTAATTAATGAATCACTATTATTATACTTATATAATACATCCGAATCATTTGGTTACTTAATTGTCACCACTTAAAACGCTCTAGTGACAACAGCAAAATCATGCTGAAATGCTCAATTTTTTTCTTATCACCATTTGTTATATACAAATAAAAAAATTATTTGTATTTGAAATTTAAAGAATTATTTGAATATGGTTGTACGCCCACTTGAGTGGGCGTACCACCATATACAAAATAAAAAATTTGTACTTATAGATGGATGGAAATTGGCTGTTTAATTAATGAAACTAATATGAATTTGGTTTACTATCTGTAGCTGAGAAATGAGTTTTTGACTTTCCATTATATGCGTAATAAGTGTATAACACAGTTTTATTCTATGAACAACCAAAAAACTCTTAAAAAATAGAAGAAAAAAAAAAAAAAAACTTTGGCTTAACTTAAAAAACTATAAAATTCTTTTCTTAGAAAATTCAAAAATATATACTAATAATTCTTCCAAATTAAAGACTGGAATATCTGTTTTAGTATGTGTTCATCTACTCCATTTGCAATTGGTATTCAAACTTGAAACTCAAAATATGTAATCAGTAAATCTGTTTACCTTTTGCTAAAACTCAATAAATAATTATACGAAGTGCTAATAAGTGTTATTTGTAATTATAAAGTGTTATTTGTAATTATTAAGTGTTATTTGTAATTATGTTTAAAAGTCTGAACTTAATGTGCTTCACTAAAGAAAACATTTTTCTTTTTACAGATTTTGATTACTTTCTATCAGTAGACAATAAAATAAGTTTGAAGCAAGGCTGTCTACCATTATTTTACATGCTTACTTTCGTTGTAGCCAGCACCTGTTTCATTTCTTTTTATCAATTATAACAGAAACATCATTGGATTTAGGCCAAGCAAATATTTAAATGACAATTAAATTGTTTTTTGTTTTTTTTTTCATTAAAAAAAAATAATAATAGTTTTAGTATTTTATGTTTGCTTCATTGATGTTTAACGTTTGTCATAGTTACAACAAAAACTTTTTATTTCATATTTTTTTAATATTATTTTTCATTCATTTTGTTTTTATTTTTTTATTTTATTTATATAGTTTTAATTTTTTTATTACTTTTAGTAAAAGTAACATTGGGTATAATCAAAATAAAGGTTTTTGATAATTTTATTACGATAATCATCACAGTCTATATAAATAAACCTGGTCTGGAAAAACTATTGTTCAAAACCCTGGTCCGGAAAAGCTATTTAAATTATTTTTAAACTATTATTGGAAAAATCTGCATAAATTCATACTCTTCAAGACTACACCTTTAATAAATTACCAAAAGCACTCTTACCATAATGCTTCCACCATCAACTCCCTAATGCTTCAATCATCAACTCCCTAATGCTTCCATCATCAACTCCCTAATGCTTCCATCATCAACTCCCTAACCAAAGAAAATTTCATCACAAATTACAAAATTAATGATTTTTAATATACTCAGGTTAATTCATTGTTAATAACAAAATCTGATATTAGTGCCTAATTTTTTTATTACAAACAACAATATGGATTATCTTTAGATTTATATTTTCAGTTTTATAGCACAATTTATTGTAATTTTTTTTTTTTTTTTTTTTTTGTAAAATGTTCTGATAATTACATCACAATGATTTTTGTAAATTAACATTTTTTTTTTAAACTGATAACTGTCTAGTTTGTTTTAAACTTTTGTACTTTAAAAGGACTAATTGTAACATATTTTTCTATAATATGATCAATTAACAAAGATATACTATTAAAACTAAATAATATTTTTACAAAAATATTAACAAAAATTGTATGAAGATTTATTAAAAAAAAAACTTATATAAACAACTTATATAAACAAACCTTTCAGAAACATTTTTTAACTTTGTAGCTGTTATTGGTTTTTCGTCGAAACTTTACAAAAAAAAAAGTTCAAAACAACATCAATATAACAGCAACTACAAGCAAAAAGACAATATAACAGCAATTACAAGCAAAAAAAACAATATAACAGCAACTACAAGCAAAAAAACAATATAACAGCAATTACAAGCAAAAAAACAATATAACAGCAACTACAAGTAAAAAAACAATATAACAGCAACTACAAGCAAAAAAACAATATAACAGCAACTACAAGCAAAAAAACAATATAACAGCAACTACAAGCAAAAAACAATGTAACAGCAACTACAAGCAAAAAAACAATATAACAGCAACTACAAGCAAAAAAACAATATAACAGCAACTACAAGCAAAAAAACAATATAACAGCAACTACAAGCAAAAAAACAATATTTTTTTATTAAAGTTCTTTAAATGAACTTTTGGTTGTACACTAACAAGCTTGTTTTTTAACCTAATCAAAATCTATCTTTTTAAGTTGAAACAAAGTGTTTTTATTTAAAAAAATTAAAATATTGAAATTACCTTTATCTAAATACAGTTAAAAATATAACATTAAAAACAATATACACATAAAAATTTATATCCATAAAATTTATATCCATAAAATAAATTCAAAAAAAGTTATGCATTTTATGTAGCTTAAGGTTATTTCTGATAACTTTAGTTTGCTCTACCTGATACCTTTTAAAAATTAAAATAATGCTGTAGCTAATTATCTAAATAGCAGATTTTGAGATCCATACAGCTAAAAATAACTATAATAAAATTCATATAAAAATCAAAACCTCAATTGTTTGTTAAACTTAGCAGATTGCACATTCTTTATAGATGGCCTAACATTTTTATTTTTAGGTGAACTTTCTTCTTCTAACAGGTCACGAAAAGAAACTGGTTGATTGAGTTGTTGGTTTAATGAACTTGATGACCTTAAAAAATTTAAATTCACATGAAAAACTAAAAAACATGTAAATTAACCAGCATTGCTGTTAACACATTTATCTTTAGTTTAACTTTTTCCAACTTTTACTATGTTTTTTAAGTGAATATCTTTATTTGATTTCATTATAAAGTTGTTTTGCAGTGCATTATCTAACTCTCTCTCTCTCTCTCTCTCTCTCTCTCTCTCAATATATATATATATATATATATATATATATATATATATATATATATATATATATATATATATATATATATATATATATATATATATATATATATATATATATATATATATATATATATATATATATATATATATATATATATATATATAAATTAGTAGAAAATCACTTAGCAAAATTTTTTCTCATTTAACACTGTGTTTCATCAATAAAGACTCATCAGAAACTAATTTGTAATTGTTCCGTTCTTTTAAGAACATTGAGCACTCTTTTTGTAGAATACATTTTAAATTGTTTAAATATATATAAATATATATATGTACATACATCGACTGACAAATAGCCTGACTCGCAGTGGAGTGCTGCTACATTGACTGAGGGTTTGGGATGGGGAAGCAATTGTTTCATTCATCATTCTTCATTTTTTCTTCTTTTTCAAAAAAAACGGTATAGCTTAAAGTAAGCAGAAAAAGTGAGCAAATGCTTATTAAAACACGCTTTAGTAAGTATATATATATATATATATATATATATATATATATATATATATATATATATATATATATATATATATATATATATATATATATATATATATATATACACACACACACACAACAGTGCCATATCCAGCAATAGTTTTAACAGTCACAAAAAATGTGTTTATTTGCTTTTATTTAATAGTGTTGAACTTTATTAATATTTAAATTTATTTACTTATTTATATAAATTAAATTATTATATAATGAAATTAACATTAAATTCGGTAAAAATTATATATTTATATAAAAAATTACAGAATTTAAAAAGATTTTGAATCAAAAAATTTTCAAGTGTTGCTACAGACCCTGGAACATTAAATGGGTTGTTAAGTATGAATCATTTTATAAATAAATCATTATTTTTATTTAACATTATTTAACAAGATTTCTTGATTATAATTTTCTTTCTCAATGTTTTTTATAAAACTATGCTTATTTTTGAAATATTAATATAATTTTGCTTTGTTTGAGACCCAACATGACATACTTTAGAAAATCTTTTTTTCTAAATAATAATACCCATTTAATGTTTAAGGGTCCATAGCAATCCCTAAAAATATTTTTTATTCAAAAATTTCCTAAATTTAGTATTATTTTATTATATAGAACCTATTTAGGTGGTGCCAGCAGACATTTTCAAAAAAAATTGTTTTTAGAACCACCCTATACATACAAACATTTAATCATATCAGGTGATGTTAGGTTCAGTACCTTTAAACAAAACGTGTTTCTAACATCTAAAAATTATCTTTAATGTCTAAAAAATATTTTTACATATTTATTAGATGTCTTAAATGCATTTTGTGAATACTAAGGTACGATTTAATAATGTATTGTGATGTTCTTATTTTTATAGTATTTCATAATTATTACCATGGACAAAACACATCTTTTTTTTGGACATCAACTGTTGAGATAAGTGTATCACCATTAAGAGATTCTTTCTTCCTTTCCCGCTGAGATTTCTTTTTAAATGGCGAAATTTTATTCTTTTGTATGTTTTTTATTTCTAGTTCTGAACTGTGAATTTGAAATATATTTAAAGAATTTTGTTTAATACCAGAACTTGTGTCAGATAAGGTGGGACAGGTGGTGGTGGTGGGACAGGCTTCAAAAACTTGTTGCCTTTGTTCAGACACATTATTCAAGATTTCTTGATCCTAAAGAAAAAAAAAAAAAAAAAAAAAAAAAAAAAAAAAAAAAAAAAAAAAAAAAAAATAATAACAATAACAAAAAAAACGGTAAACACATAGAAAGTAGTTCAAACATAAAACACACACAAATAATTAAAACCAGATATTGGATATAAACTTCTTTATCTTTCATTTTTGTACTTACCTTGCAAATAGTTTCTAAACCAGCATTGCTGTTAACACATTTTTCTTTAGTTAAACTTTTTCCAACTTTTTTTATGTTTTTTAAGTGAATATCTTTATTTGATTTCATTATAAAGTTGTTTTGCAGTAAATCATCTTCAACATCAATAACACAATGAAGCTGACTTGGTTTAATTACACGTTCCTTCATTCCACTCACCTATTAAAACATAAATTTTTACCATAAAATGTAACCTTTTCTAAAAGTTAACAATATTTTTGTTATATTGTATTTTACTTTAAGATATAATTTGAAATGTTGTAAAAAAAAAAAAAAAGTCTGTTAGAAATTTGTCAGTAAACTTAATTTTTTTAAATGTAATAAAAATAATAAAAAAATGATTCCATTTATTATTATATTGAAAAAACTACTTATAACAGTAGTAGATGCTGAAATAAAAAAATGGGAGAAGAAAGTCACACCATTTACATAATGAAAGCACAATTTCCCTATTACTACTTACCTGTAGAGTAAAAACTAGAGGAACTTGAGAATATAATTTCAAAATATAAAACAATGATCAGGGTTCAAAAAAAAAAAAAAAAAAAAAAAGATTGTATTTGTTGAGTGATTACTGAGTAATTGTTGTTCACTAAATAAATGATTGTTTGAAATGCCAAATTTAATTTAGGCAATTTTTTTACAAAAAAAATTTTTTTACAAAAAAAAAATAAATAAATAAATATATTGATGCAAACAAATAATTTTTTTTGTTGAAGTAATAAATGCTCTTGATACGTAAATACTGTTAACAAGTTATCCTCAAATAGATAGCCTCCTTGTCTGTAGTGGACTTCTCAGCCATGAGGAAGTGAATTAACAAAATAAAAAAAAATAAAAAAATAAAAACCCTCAATAAATACCTCCTTAATACTATCTTGGTATTTAGTAATTTTGGTAATTTATTTCTTTTTCCTTTGTTAATTAATTTCTTTTTCTGTTAATTTCTACAATGTTTATCACAAAATTCATTGCATTTACACTGAATTTTGATCTTAAACATCATTTTTAAGATAAAGGATAAAGTGCTTAAAATTTAATTTTAAAAAGAGGTTTGATAATAAATTCAGTAGTTAGACTAAGAAAGTCAAAAAAAGTTTTATCATAATTTTATTGTTGATCTATAAATAAGAAGAGCATTTTGCAACAATTAAATATGTAAGCATTTTTTTAAGTTTAATTTAAACGCAAAGAAAAAAAAAATTTAAACAAAAAACTTTTCATAAAAAAACTTCATAAAAAAACTTTTTCTATTTTTTAATAAAAATGATATATATATATATATATATATATATATATATATATATATATATATATATATATATATATATATACACACACACACACACACACACAGAGAGTTGTTAGTCCTTGGCCTTGACCGAGCCTGGCCTTATAACCGAAAATTGAGGCCTTGGCCTTGAAACTGCTAGCCTTGGCCTTGCCCTTGATTATTTTGGCAATGGCCTTTAAAAAATATACATATTTTTTTATTGATTTCATTGAATTCCGCGCATAACCTTGGTCTATTTTTACAAAATGTGGTTTTATCGTCACAGCACTTACTACTTACAGTTTTGTTGATAATTGGCCTTAATGTAAAACAAAAATTGAAGTGTTTGGTCTTGAAAATGTTTGGGTAGGACAAGGCCTTGAAACTTATAATCTTGGCCTTGACCTTAAAACTCTTGGTCTAGTCCTTGTAACTTTTGGCCTAGGTCTTGTAACTTGTGGTATTGTCCTTGTAACTTTTGGCCTAGGTCTTGGTCTTGGCCTTGTATTTTGTGGCCTTGGCTTTGCTACTTTTGGCCTTGTTAACAACTCTGTATATATATAAACATATAGTTTTAGCATTTCCTTTTCCAGAAAAGTTTCAAAAAATGTTTAGAATTAACTTAACAGAAGTAGAAAAAGACTTTTTGAGTTTTTTTTTTTAAATTACATTAGATCTTGTTTTGAAAAAGTTCTTTATTTGTCATGGTGCTGAAATTTATTATCTAAAGATTTTGCAATCTTTCCAATCTGTAAATTATAGTTGTCTATTTTTCAATGTGTGATTTTTGTTTTATAGTTAAAGTGTTTACATGTTTGTTCCAATGTTTTAATAACAAAAAATATTTTTGTTTTGAAATTGCAATAAATAAATTTTTATTACAAGTAACATTTTTTTAACTTAGAATAACACCTCCCTCATTACATTAAGGTATAAAGGATAAGAAAGATGGTCTTCCAACCCAAAAGATCTAGGAGTAAAAATGGACTGTAATCTTAACTATAAAAAACATATTTCTAACGCCATCCATCAAGCTAACTCTAGAACATACCTAATATAAAAATGTTTTAAAACTCGTGATCCTTGTATGCTTGTGTAGTTAGAGCTTTCACTACCTATATAAGACCAATTTTAGAACATCGTTCTCCAGTTTGGTCACCACACCAAATTGGATTGATTAAAGTAGGGCATGCTATTAGTGTCCATCTTTGATTGGGCTTACATGTCCTTTAGAATAAGTATTTGGTGTTCTAATAAATATCAATGAATCAATCAAGTTATTTGTAGGCACAAAGCTATGCACAGTTAATAAAGTATTTTAAAATCAACCTTTGAAACATAAAGTTAGAAATTTACAGTGCATATCAACACGGTCTAAGTCCTTGTAACAAATACCCAGAATTTTAAAAAACTACTGGATTTTTTTAGTTAAATTTAATTCTGCAAGACACCAGTGTCACAGAGACACAAAGAAGGCCACTGCAGTCAAGGGGAAGGAGTCGATGAGGATACTTATTTTAAGCATTTATACATTACTTTACAGATTACGGGTCTGTCTTTTTATTTATTTTCTTAAACTATATTAAAATTTATTCTCAGATTTCAAATTTAGTCCAAAAATAATTTCAGTTCTAAAATTGACCATGACCATTATGACAATGCAGTGTTGTAATAATTTTCAAACAATTATGTTTTTTTTGTTGAAAGTAGAAATCAGATGGTAAATTTTAATTTAATTTAACTTTAAAAGAATGTTTTTTTTGAGAAACTTACTATATTTAGAAATATATAATAATATGCTTATTATTTTTTTCTTTAAAAATTATTGAAAAAATTTGTGATTTAAATTAACAAATACAATATTTTTTAGATAATTATTTTATAGACCTTTTTCTACTTGTTATAAAATTTATTAAAATAAAAACAAACAAAGGATCAGTTATGAATTTGGCAATTCATTGTTATTAAGCAACTGCCTAATTTTCGATATTATCATTTATATCAATTGGATATTGGGAGTATAACCAAATTATATTTTAATATAATTTGGTTATATTTCCAATAATCCAATAGATGCTTATTTTGATGAAAAGTTTTTTTAAGAAAATATTCAAGACTTATTAACGATGTAGAAAGAATATATTTTAATCTGTACAAAAACATATATATCAACATGTATATCAACATGAAAAAGTTATTTGTAGTTAATTTTTCTTGCCACTCTTTGTTTAAAATTTAAATTAAAACAGGTCACCGAATTTAAAAAGTCACCAAATTTAAATAGGTCAAGGAGCATTATATTAAACAAAAAAGACATTTAAATTAAACAAAAAATAAAACAAAAAACTTGAAAAAATATAAGTTTTATGATAAATTTCAGAGCAACACATTTTGTTTGACATAAAGCAACTCTGAATAATAAACTAAATTTCTTTGTATTAAAAATAAAAAATCATTATCAAACATATATATATATATATATATATATATATATATATATATATATATATATATATATATTATATATATATATATATATATATATATATATATATATATATATATATATATATATATATATATATATATATATATATATATATATATATATATATATATATATAAATTCATAATTAATAAAGTTAAAAAAAAATTAGTAATAAAGATAAAAAAAATATTCTTTTAAAGTTAAAAAATTATCATTCCTATCATTAGAATTAAAAAAGGAAACAAAATATTTACATAAATCATAGTACTCAGTAATACAATTAAAACTTTGTATAACTTTTTTTGAAAAACCTGTTATGTTTAAACTTTAAAAATTAAAAAATTACAACAATTTATTACATACCATTTTTTTGTAAACAATTGATAATTCTTTTAGATGCTCTAAATCAATATCCTCCAACAATCTGGAAACAAGAAACAATAGAAACATTGGAAACAAGAAACATTAGAAACACTGGAAACAAGAAACATTAGAAACATTGGAAACATTAGAAACATTGGAAACAAAAATTTGAAACATTAGAAACATTGGAAATATTAGAAACATTGGAAAAATTAGAAACATTGGAAACATTGGAAACATTAGAAACATTGGAAACATTAGAAACATTTGCAACAAGATTCTAGTTTTTCAAATTAAATTTTTTTTAAAACCATTTTAAGATTTTATAACTATATTTGACAAAAATAAATTTTTTTAGATTTTCAAGCTCTAATAGAGACAATTTTATTTTTTAAATTTCTGATTAAAACAATTACAAACAAATAGTAAGTGACTGGGGACGAGACTTGACTGGGGCCAGGTTTGATAAACTATAGCCGGAGCTGGAGCTGTCTATATCTAGACAAACCCTATAAATGAAACAAATATTTCAGCTTGGATTATGATTCATGTTATGTTTACAAGTACACATAGATGAATATATATATATATATATATATATATATATATATATATATATATATATAACTATATATATGTATATATATATATATATATATATATATATATATATATAACTATATATATGTATATATATATATATATATATATATATATATCAGGGTGAAAACTAACCTTGTGGGGTCCCGTCAAATGCGGTACTCCCAAATGCTCATAAAATTAAAATTCCCAATTAAAAAATCCCATTCTCCAAATAAAGCCTTTCATTTTGGCTGAAAATTTAAATAACTAATAAGTCTCACTGCTTTATTCAAAATATCAAAAAGCCATTTAAGTCAGAAATTTTGATCAATGCTAATATTACAGAAAGTTTTTAGTTATTGTTTTTCTTTTTTTGTTTAATAGTTTATATCAACTGAATTAGATGATTGCATCGACTATAACCTTTTTTTACTTATTGGCATTGACTAAATAAAAAAATATTTTATAATTAGAAGTTATAGTCATATAAAATATATAATTATAATATAACAAATTGGTATTATAAATTTAATTAGCGAGGAAAGTAGATTTCTTTACTTTACTGCTTGCTTGTATTTAAAACGTAAATTAAAAATGTATGTTAAAACGTAAATTAAATATGTTTAATAACAAAAATGTTTTTATTATTACAGCAAAATTGTACTAGAAATTTAAAAAACAAGAAAAGAAGATTCACCGAATGCTTCAACTTAAAAGTTAATAGCAAATTTAAATGTTTGAATGAACCACATTTTATGACTATAAATAAAAAAATAATTATTGGTGGTCTTCGTTACAGCAATATTCTGCAATGGCTTGAGAACAATATTCTTTTGTAATCAAACAACATTTGTTGTTATTGCTGAAGTTTTGTAGTTGTAACTTTATTTCCCTATGCGATTTATGTGAAAAAAAAAATTAATAAAATTGAACTTGCAATAAATGTGCAATATAAAATTTACGAGCTCGTGTCAATTATGAAAATTTCCACGGAAGAGAGCCAATGGTCTACTTCTAATTATTATTAAAATTCTTCTAATTATCATTTAAATTCTGCTCAAGGTCCTTTATGGAACCCTAAAAAAAAAACTTACTATTTCGAGCTACTATTTCAAAATCTTTTCTATTTTTTTATTTTTAAAACATTTATTTTGGTGATACAATTTATTACATGATGGTGTATGGGTTCGTCTATAAAGGACGTCAAGCAGAATTTAATATGTTTGTGTTTGAGAAATGTGTAATTGATTTAGTTGTTTTCCACGAATGCCCTCCAGTGAAAAAGAAATATATACTCAAAAGAATACGCTTAAAATTAAAGCAACAATGATATATTAGGATTAAAAACTTTGGTCTAATACTATTATCTCATTCTTCTTTACCATCAGAATCCCCCTATCATCGTACATCTTACAACTACCTTAAAGCTGACTGGGACTCTTTCCGTGATTTTCTTTGTGATGGCCCCTGGGTAGAAATCTTGCGTCTCCCTGTTAACAAATGTTAACTTCGTGGATTCAGGCTGGCATGGAATCCTTTATTCCCTCTCGACGATTCCAGGTCAAGCCTCACTCTTCTCCATGGTTTTCCTCACATTGTGCTGCTGCAATTGCTAATCGAAACCATTACTTCCATATCTATCAGCAAAACAATTCTCCAGAAAACAGACGTCTGTTTATTACTGCTAGAAACCATTGTAAAAAGGTTTTGTCTAATGCCAAAGCCCGCTATTCTCAGATCATGAAATCTCATATTTCATCACAAAAATTAGGCTCTCGTGACTTCTGCAGAATCTTTAATAGTATCAATAATAAGAGCAAGTCTGTAATTCCACCTCTTTTGTACGGTTCAGACTTTGTCACCTCACCTAAAGACAAAGCTGAATTGTTTGCCAAGAACTTTTCATCAATATCATCTCTTGATGCCAATAGTTGTGTTCTACCTGATATAGCCGTCAAACAGGTTGATCCATTGCTCGACATTCGTATCACTCCACCTTCTGTATCTAAAGTGATTTCCCGCTTAGACTCTTCTACAGCTTGCGGCCCGGACAACATACCTGTTATAGTCTTGCAGAAGTGTTCTCCGGAGCTGTCGTCTATCCTTTCAAAACTATTTAACAAGTGCTTATCAGAATCTTGTTTTCCAGCCTGCTGGAAAGCAGCATCTGTTATCCCTATTTTAAAAAATTCTGGAGAGCGATCCGATTCATCTAACTACCGTCCCATTAGTTTATTCCTATCATAAGCAAGGTATTTTGAATCTTTAATTAACAAACACTTAATCTCTCATCTCGAATCTCATAACCTACTTTCTGATCATCAATATGGATTTCGATCTTCTTGTTCTACAGCTGATTTGCTATCGGTAATAACCAATAGGTTTTATCGCGCATTAGATAAAGGTGGAGAGGTTAAGGCCATTGCTCTTGACATTTCTAAAGCGTTTGATAAAGTTTGGCATGCTGGCCTTCTCCATAAGCTTTCTTCTTATGGTGTATCTAGAAACATCTTTAAGATTATCGAATCCTTCTTTCCAATCGTTGTATAAAAGTTGTCCTTGATGGACAACACTCTTCCAGATATTCTCACATCTAAGGTGGCATTGTTCGCTGATGATACTACCATTTATTCTTGTCACGATAAGAAGCCAACTCCCTCTGATTGCTTGCAGGGGGCATTTGAGCTTGAAAAAGATCTCACTTCTGCTACAGCATGGGGCTCACAGTGGCTGGTGAACTTTAATTCAGATAAAACTCAATTTTTTTCTGCCAATCGTTATCGCAATAATTTAGACATTCCGATATTTATGAATGGTAATGTACTTGATGAGTCTCCTACCCTTCATCTTCTAGGATTAACTCTTACTTCTGATCTTTCTTAGAAATCTTATATCAAATCCGTTGCAAAATTAGCATCTGCTAAAGTTGCTTCTCTTTATCGAGCTCGTCATTTTCTTACTCTGGATTCTATTCTCTATCTCTATAAATTTCAAATCCGGCCTTGTATGGAATACTGTTGCCATATCTGGGGCGGATCTTCTAATGATGCCCTTTCTCTTTTAGACAAGGTGCAAAAACGCATTGTAAACATAGTTGGACCTGCTCTTGCAGCCAACCTTCAACCTCTGTCACATCGTTGTAATGTTGCTTCTCTTTCTCTTTTCTACAAATACTATAATGGGCATTGCTCTAAAGAGCTAGCGTCTCTTGTGCTATCTACTAAAATTCATTCTCGTGTTACTCGTCATTCAATTAAGTCTCATCCTTTTTCTGTAACTGTTCCTAAGTGCTCCAAAAACTCTTATTTGTCTAGTTTTTTTCCTCGAACATCAGTTCTTTGGAATTCGCTTCCTTCATCTTGCTTTCCTGATTCATATAATTTGCAATCTTTTAAGTCGCCTGTCAATCGTTATCTTTCTCTACAATCTTCATCTTTTCTCTTCCAGTAACTTCCAACACTAATTAGTGGTTGCTTGCAGCCTTGTTGGAAGCAAAGATAATTAATATTATATATATATATATATATATATATATATATATATATATATATATATATATATATATATATATATATATATATATATACTATATATACACATATATATATATATATATATATATTTTTTTTTTTAACATCTTCACTTCCAACAAGGCTGCAAGCAACCACTATAAGAGTTGGAAGTTACTGGAAGAGAAAAGACTAAATCTGTAGAGCAAGATAACGATTGACTGATGACTTAAAAGATTGCAAATTATATGAATCAGGAAAGCAAGATGAAGGAAGCGAATTCCAACGAGCTTTGACCTGGGAATAGCGAGCTTTTTATAACAAAATATTCTAGCCCTAGCTTATATATAACTTAATATAACAAAAATTCTAGACTTATATATAACTTAATATAACAAAATATTCTAGCCCTAGCTAATAACCCCTGCAAGAATTATTATTTGGCTAGGGCCAGGGCTCCGGTCACTTCCTTCAAACAAATCAATGCTTTACTTTTAAATATGTATTTAATATGTGTATTTAAAAACTCTGTAAAAACAAAAAAAATAATCAAAAAAAGAAAAAAAAAACTAAAATACAAAAAAGTTTTCTTTTTATTTCTCCGTTATGATGAGAAAAATTGCTAACTGTATTTGCCACTTTGTTGCTTTTCAAGCAACAAAGTGGCAAATAATAGTTAGGTAACTGCTTTTCATTCCATTTCTGTCAAATGGTTTTTAAATCCATTTCTATAAATGATATCAAACGTATCAATAAAAAATTTTTTAAAAGGCTTGCAATGTGTAAATTTTTAAGCATATAAATTAATAAAATAATTATGACAAGTATGTAGAAAGTAAAACAGAAATCAATTAAAAAGTTTGTGTGTCTATTTTTATTTTAACAACATTTTCTCAAATATTTATTGTATTCTTTTGATGAAACTAAATTAATAACTTATTATTATTTATTATATATAATTATACATTATATATAATAACACTACACGATAAAATAGTAGGAGAAAAGCTTTTTCCTAATGTGTAAAAAAAGAATAAATCTTTAGCAAATATAGCTATTTTCTAACGATAATAAAAAAAATTAATTAAACATTTTACTACAGCTACAGTCTTGGCTAAAATGGATAGAACACTAGCGAAAAAATATATTTTTTGCGTCTTTATTCATATATCATAATC